TGCAATGGGATGGAGCTGATATCTAGAGACACCTCATTGATGCCTGGCAGTGCCAGTGTCCCTGTCCCAGGCTGGACATTGGGCCTGGAGCAGCCTGGGTGGTGCAATGGGATGGAGCTGACATCAGAGACACCTCATTGATCCCTGGCAGTGTCAGTGTCCCAGGCTGGACATTGGGCTTGGAGCACCCTGGGACAGCGGGAGGTGGAGGTGCAATGGGATGGAGCTGGGATCCCAGGGACACCTCATTGATCCCTGACAGTGCCCCTGTCCCAGGCTGGACACTGGGCCTGGAGCACCCTGGGAGGTGCAATGGGATGGAGCTGATATCCAGGGACATCTCACTGATCCCTGACAGTGTCCCTGTCCCAGGCTGGACATTGGGCCTGGAGCAGCCTGGGACAGCAGGAGATGTCCCTGCCCACGGTGGTTCTGGATGGGCTCTGAGCTCCCTTCCCACGCAGCCATTCTGTGCTCCCATGCCATCTGAGGGAGCTGCAGGCCCTGTTTGCCCCCTCCCTCCCTCCCTCCCTCCCTGCTGGGGCCATTCCGGGGCCATTCTCCCCCGAGGTTCCAGCATGGGCTGTTCCTCCCGCAGCCACTGCTGCCTCTCCCTGTGTGTGGAACGCGTGTGGGCCCCGAAAGGCACCGCTGGGAGCCCTGGACAGCAGCTCCTCGGGCAGCTCCGACAGCGACGACGACGACGATGACAAGGGCAAGGCTGGCACGGAACCCACGGCCACGGGCACGGGCACGGCCACGGAACCCACGGGCACAGCCACGGGCACGGAACCCACGGGCACAGCCACGGGCACAGCCACGGGCACGGCCACGGGCACAGCCACGGGCACGGCCACGGGCACAGCCACGGGCACAGCCACAGCCACGGCCACGGGCACGGCGCGGGAGGCCAGCAAGGACAGGGCAGCTCCCACCAGGTGAGCGGGGTTCTCTATGGGCTGGGATGGCTCCGGGATGGGATGGCCCCTGGAATGGCTCCTGGGCTGGAATGCCCCTGGGATGGGATGGCCCTGGTTTGGGATGGCCCTGGGATGGGATGGCCTCTGGGATGGCTCCTGGGATGGCCCCTGGGATGGCCCCAGGCTGGAATTGCCTCTGGGATGGCTCCTGGGATGGCTCCTGGGATGGCCCCTGGGATGGCTCCAGGCTGGAATGGCCTCTGGGATGGCTCCTGGGATGGCCCCTGGGATGGCTCCAGGCTGGAATTGCCTCTGGGATGGCTCCTGGGATGGCTCCTGGGATGGCCCCTGGGATGGCTCCAGGCTGGAATGGCCTCTGGGANTGGGATGGCCCCTGGGATGGAATGGCCCCTGGGCTGGGATGGCCCCTGGAATGGCCCCTGGGATGGCTCCGGGATGGCCCCAGGATGGGATGGCCCTGGTTTGGAATGGCCCCTGGGATGGGATGGCCCCTGGGATGGGATGGTTCCAGTGTCTTCCCTCTCGTGTGGCCTCCACATCACAGTGTCCCCTGGGAGCAGGTCCTGCCCCTGGCCTGGCACAGCGGGGCTCAGGGTTGTATTTAGCACAGGGATATTCCAAGGAAGGGTTGGGGATCATTGGAGCCACTCCAGTGTCACAGGAGCATCACTGTCCCTGTTCTTGGGGCCACTCCAGTGTCACAGGAGCATCACTGTCCCTGTCCTTGGGGCCACTCCGGTGTCACAGGAGCATCACTGTCCCTGTCCTTGGGGCCACTCCAGTGTCACAGGAGCATCACTGTCC